CCTCTTCATAGAATAGTGCAATCATCATTGTCAATTGTTCAGACGAAATGTCCTCTTAGTCCGTGTACAGTCATTTTTCTCTAGCAGACCTTAATGTCATTAAGCATGAATGATATTTCTGTGTCGTGATGGACCACAGCAATTACTGAATCCTCAAAGACCTCTTTCATATGATATTCGATGTTAAGAAGACAGAGATGTTTGTGATAAATTATAGTTTCCAAGGAAAATGCACAAAGTGTATAGCAGATTTATTTACCACAAGGCAAAGCCAAGATTTAATCTAATGTAATTCTTATGGGAGTATCTACAGATTTTAGAGGAATCAATAATAATAATAATAATAATGAATTAATAAAACGAGAATACACTTTTGGTAATAAGTAATATTAAGTCTATGAAACAAGTCTCCCATGATATCAAAAGCTCAATTTTTTATAAAAAAATACAGTAAAAGTAGTATTATTGTGAACTCCATTTATAATATTGTAACACAATTTGAAATGCAATTTATTTATGTGATTTAAAGCGGAATTAGCACATTTACTTCAGTTAATATTTTCACATGAGCCCTCAGAAGCAGGCTTATATTCTGCTTTAATGGACAATGATCATCACGTTCACAAGTTGTGCAGCATAATATTTCTGGAGACCAATTTTTGGATGAATCTAAAGTTAAAAGGAACAGCATTTTTTTTAAGAATTTGAATTATAAAATGTCTCCTTGTCACTTTTGCACAACATAATGTGTCCTTAAAGAAAGGTATAAATGTAAAATGCATCCCTTATTGATCCCAAACCTTAGAATGTGTCGAAAAAATAAATAAATAAATAAAACATAGGGCTGGGCGATTAATCAAAACGTAATCGAAATTGACATTCAAAACCTATAATCGGTCTTATGTATGGATCTAATCGATGATCGAATTTTTCCAAGTCGATTTTTTTTAGTACTTTCCTTACCGCGTGTGAAGTGTGGTGACCCAGCTCTGCTAAGCCTTTTAAAGGCTATAATTTATACTTCTGCTGCCACACCAGATCTCTGATCAAGTAGGATGATTGACCCATTCTTGACTCTTACTTTGCACTATATTGACACTAAACGGAAGCTGTGCCAGAAATGCCGACATATTTTCTATTAGATTAACATTATTATTTACATTAAAATATTTGTTTACAGGAGACGCAAGAAATGCATTTATATTTATTGTTTACAGACTATATAAGAGTTATTTAATTAGAAAAGATAATGCTTATTTTCTACTTTTAATATGAAAAACATTGAAAATTATTCATAAAAAAAAATATTTTCACTTTTTATAAGAAAAAAAAAGTTACTTCATTTTAGGCAATGTGTTTTAATTTCTGTTGTTCAACAGTGATGTTCAATAAATAATTATAGATTATTTTATTTAAATATTTTAAAATCAGGTAATGTACCCTTCATTCAAAAATCTCTCACATATGAGCATGTTTACTGTGCAAAACTTGTCTGAACTATGAGGGCAAAAAAAAAAAGCAAAATAATGGTTCATTATTCGTAATCAAGTTAAAATGTTCAATTAATTGAGCATTTGATAGGCCAAATCGCCCAGCCCTATTAAAACAGTTTTCCCCCCCTAAAAAAACGTACATCGCAAGCATTTCATATTATACAAGATGTGTAATCTGCAAAATGATTACATAAGCGAACATGCAAGGATCAGCAAATGTGCAGATAGTTTACAGAGCTTTTGGAGATTTTGTGTGAGCCTGCTGACACTCATCAGACTGACTTGGAATAAACTAAATGTCTTCTACTTTAATTTATCAGCACTTAAACTATGGAGACATCTGACTACTGCACTATTGCCTGTAGAATGAACTGAATTAGTCACTGAGTGGTTTCATTTCAAACTGAAAACACTTGCAGGGAGGTTCTGCCAAAACAAATCAATGAGCATTTCAGAGTGCTAAAAGGAGTTCACAGCGAGAGGAGAAACATCCTGAAACAGAGCCTGAATAAGAGACATAAGAACCATTCTGTTACACAGGGAATAGGGGAAATTCTTCATGTGAACTGTTGAGGACAGATGTGCCTTTCTGTGATTAATTCTCCAGGAGATTAAGCTGATCAGTGAATGATCTTGGTCAAACAGAACTGCTTTGTCCTGAGCAATCGGAGACACTTATGCACATCAGTGCAAAACAGTCAAGTGTTTGTTAAAATTGCATAAGTAGAAGCTAAAGGCTCATATTGGATAATCTAAAACTAAATCTGTTATGAACACGATATGTGTTGTTGATTCTGGGAGGTTTGGTTTGATTTATATTGACTTTGGTTGCATTGCTCTGTTAGTGAGGATCAATTGAATAAGTGCCGACATCTGAAAATTGGTGAACTGTGTCCACTTTTAAGTGCTGTCTGACTGAACACAACCTAAATAAAATACATCTAAACAAACCAAAAACACGAAGCCATTAGGTGTGCCTATAAAAAAAGAGAATAGCACGCTCAAGTATAACTGTACACGACATCAAATGAGAATTAATGTAAATTGAAGTACAATATAGACATCAGAAATGTGTCTGGGTGTGCAATAGAGGAATTTCTGGAGTTGTTTGGATTTCTTTATACATTCATTAAGTTATTTTTATCTGATAATAAATTGTATCAAATGCAAGCACATACAACAAGCTTGCTAAAATGATTTTCATATTATTTTAAATTCAGTTCTTTTAAACTTTATTTCAAAGAATTCTAAAAATGCATCACGTTTTTTTCAAATAAATGAAGAAATATTAAGCAGCACACATGTTTTTAACATTGATGATAAAGTTTCTTTAAAAACTTTGCATTAGAAGAATAAATAATTTTTAAAAATATATTTTAACTTGAAACATTTCATATTTTCTGTCATACGTTATGATTTATTTACCAATTAAATGCAGCCTTTTTGTAATTAAGTTTTTATTTCCTAAAAGAAAAATATGAAATTTTTACCATTAGATTGAAAAATACTTTTAAGAACTATTATCCCCCATGTATCCCCCCACCCTTTTATATGCACACCAGGAAACACAGAATAACTGTAGTTTCCAAGCTTTTAGATAAATTACATTACATTTGACATTACTTGTATCAGATGAGGGTTAAGTGTCCAAGATTTCTTTGACGTCGTCTATATAGATTTTTCCAAACAGTCAGAATGTCCAGTTTAGCATGGTTGATCCGGGCTGATGACAGTTCCAGATACAGTATTTCCAATAGTGAATGCAACCAGTGCTTAACAGAAACATCATGAGGGGGTTTCCACCTCTCTACCTGTATTTTCTTTGTAGCAGTTGAAGCAGCTAGCCAAAATTTGTGGGCCTTTGCATTTAAGGTAAATTGAGAGTTATCATTCACTAATAGCAATACAGGATCTTTAGGGAAATTAATTTTTGTAACTTTAAATAAAATGTCCAGCACAGAATCCCAAAGTTTTTGCACCTCTGAACATATGTAAATAGCCATCTGGACACTGTGGTTCACAGAACTTACAATAAGGATGTGGAAATAAGCCTATAATATGCCGTGTACTTGTAGTAAATATGCCCTGAATAGTTTTGAAGTGAATAAACTGGCGATTAGGGTTTGTGGAGGCATGGAATGTATTAGTTACCCAATTGATTTGAGGTTGGCAGAGACAGATCGGATGTCCATAGTCTTTCTTTTAAAAAAGTATAAATATTAATACTTGAAAGACAGCAATAGAGTTAGGAGACCGTTGCTTTTCTTGGAGCATTATATATCCATTTCACAGTCGGATGGGTATGAAGATCCATACCCCACAGTGTCTTATGAAACTTTAGTGCTGACCTTATTTTAAAATATATGAATTAAATGCAGCCTTGATAAAAAAAAAAATATTTAATAAAATCTATATTTTTATGTACAGTATTGCAACAATAATTACTTTAGCTTGATTATGCATGTACAACATCATTATATGACTGCAAGCTTGTGCTCAAGGCTGTTGATAACACACTCAGCAATGTTTGACAATCTCTTGCACAGACCACTCGTTTCACTTTTTAAGACCTCAATGTATCATAAATAGCCATGTGCTTATATTTTAAAGTGGCAGCAGTCAAAGACTGGCATGAATAACCATGGACCACCATTTCAGCTTAAAATCTTCTTTTTATTCTACTTTAATTGATTAGAATCTGACTGAATTAATAGCTAATTGTCCTTTATTTGTGTGAACTGTCCCTTTAAATCACGAACATGCAGGTTTAGTGAAGTTTGATTTTGCTGCATTTCAGAAAATCTCAGAAAAAAAGGAAGTATGTGATTCCAAAGAGACACTCAAGAGCTTATGATATTACATAACAATATTTATACGGCCTTATACGCGGATATAGGAATGTTAGCTGACCAGGCACTTCTCAAAGCTAGACGGCTTACATGAAATCAGCCAGAACAACCACTGGGGATTTAGGTTGTGTTACAGACCTGTCAACTCATCTGCGCTCACATGGAAACACTTGAGCAACACATTCTTTGAGACAAAGAGGGAAGAATACATGAATTGACCCCAAAAACGTAAACTCTGTCACCACTTATTCACACTCTTTGAGTTAAATTCATATTCTGTTGAAGAGGTAATTTTGAAGAACGGTCAGATAATGGATAAAACGTACTATAGAAGTGAATAAGGACCAACAATCCTCAAAATATAACCTTGTGTGAAAGCACCAATAAACAAAAACATTAGCACGGTCCACTTTAATCAGTAAGTTATTAACAAACATTACATAATGCTTAATCAGTAGTTCAAGGGCATTTGAATATGCATGCAAATATATTAAAGTTTGACATGCGTGTCAATGTTATAATGCTAAACAAATTACCTAGTAGAATAATTATGTAGCAACTAAAGTTATAAAGTGTTACATTCACATCAATTTTATATTATCCGATTGATAATAATGGGTTATTGTGTTTAGCATCCATAAAAATAAATATCCCTTACTTTTCTCCTGCAGTTTGTTGAGCTCCACCAATAAACCCGTATTTGTCGGGCTGGACCTCCGTGTTGGCGAAGCCGTTGAGCTCAGAGTCTGAGCCCCGAGAGGAGCTCTCCTGCTCGGCCAGACCGTCCGCTGTGCCGCGCTGACTTTTACCGTCCTTCCAGTGCACTCCATTGCCCGCATGAAGCTTAGCCATGCTGAATATCAGCTCCAAAACTCGCTTGCTTGTGGCTCAAAAAAAAAAAAATAAAGTGTCTTTCTGACAAAAACAGAATGGATTTCCTCCTGTCAACCTCCTTAAACTATCAACACACTGAGATTTGAGCCCCACACGCTCCAGTAAAACTACCGATACGCCATATCTGATTATAAAAAGCATAAACACTTACAGTCAGGTGAAACATGGGTTTCTTTGACCCTGACAGGCCATTGTAGATGTTTACTTACTACATTTATATATGACAGTTTACACGTACATAAAACCATATTATAAATAGATGAAGCGTAGCTTAACCAAATTACGTAAATAACATCCTTCTCACACTTTCTACTGTTTTTTGAAGGTTAATATAGATAAAACTCGTCTGAATGCAAGTTAATATTTGTCGTCAGTCAAATTCGCACAACCCACAAATGCAGTAACGTTAGTTAGTTAAGAGCTAACAAGCTAACTCGACGTAAAAAGAGCTTTTTAAATCTCCGCACAAATTAACAAAACTCAGACTCACTGTGCTGTAAAGTCAGCGTTTGTGCAATGTTTCTGACGCCATCGCTTTAATCTTATTTCATATAATCTGTGTTTATGAACCTTTGAATGTGACTGAGTGAGTGGTTCGTGCTAAAGTCGCAGCCTCTGGAGCTTTGAGGAGGCGTGGCGGAATATGCGCAGTAAAGCGCGTGTCTACAGTGCAGCAATATTTACAAATGCATTTATTTATTTATTTATTTGTTTATTTATTTATTTACAAAAGTTTATTTAAGTTATCAATCGTTGATTCTACTGACCCAAAACATGATTATATTAGTACGAGGGACCAAACTGAGGGGAAAAACTAAATTTAAGATATTTAAATTTCAATTTTGTATACTAAATCTGTTCTAATTGTACTGAATGTATTTACACATTTATTTGCACATATTTAAATTATAGAGGAAGAAGCCTTCAAATACAATAAATAAATAAATACATTTATTCATTCATTCATTTTTTTTCGGCTTAGTTCAGTTATTAATCTGGGGTCGCCACAGCAGAATGAACCGCCAACTCATCCAGCATATGTTTTACGCAGCGGATGCCCTTCCAGCTGCAACCTATCACTGGGAAATAAATACACAAATATATAAATAAATGAGTAAATAAATCCATAAATTCCTGCATAAATAAAACAATATATGAATAAATATGCAAATAAACAAATGTATATAAAATTCACAAATTCCTGCCTAAATAAATATATGAATAATTAATAGTGTGGGCAGCTAAATTATTAAATAAATTACACGAATATTGGGGCCCTTTCAAATGTTTATTCATTCTTGAACATAGTTTCATGTTTACTTTTCCTCAGCTCCAGGGGCCTGGGGGGGATACGTCCCCCTTGCTTTTAGAGAACGACCATTAAGAAAACAGGTGATTAAGAATGTAATCTTTGTCCCCTCACTTTTAAAATGACCACTACGCCCCTGCTCAGCTCAACATGCTAATGAGAGGGTGTCTGTCAATCATCATGCAAATGTTTTCTGAGATCAACCAATGATGGCATAAAGACCACCCTTAGATGATTGACAGACAGCCTCTCATTGGCATAAGGTAAATTATTTGTGTAATTTATTTAATTATTTAACTGCCTGTAGGTATAATTATTTATGTGCTTATTTATACAGGACTTTGTGAATTTTTATATACATTTATTTATTTATTTGCACATTTATTTATCTATTGTTTAAATTATGCACAAATTTATACATTTATTTACTAATTAATTTAATTATTTTGAGTATTTGTGGATTTATTTATTATTTTTTCAGGTTTTGTCCTCCATAGTAAACTGGTTTAAGCTGCTTATTTATTGTATTTTAATCAAATTTCAGGTATTTTATTTGCTTGGATTAACTTTAATTTTTATATTTTATCATTTTAATCGTATTTATGTATTAATTATTTTAGAATTATTAGATGTGTTGATCTTTATAAAATGTGATGTACTTGTTTTACATCTTTATATGATTTTACACATAACTGCAGCAACCACAATAAACTATTGCTTTGAATATATATATATATATATATATATATATATATATACATACACACACACACACACACACACTTACACATAATTATTATCATTATGGTTGTGGTTGTTACTTTTACCTTTGGATTCTATCTAGATATTCAAACCATTTTATCTTTGCTAAATATACTGTCAAAAACCAAACATCAATGGAAAGACTATTTATTCAGCTTTTAGATTATGCATAAATTGCATATTTTATTAATTATTTGAATTATTCAGAATTTTCCAGTTACTTGCCATATTTTTAAATGGTTAACTATCTCATCTATACTGACCATTGCCTTTCATCATGACAAAGCAGTGATTATACAGTGCTGTCCTCACATGCTGATCTCATGATTCTCATAAAGAACTTGAAAAAAGCCATGCTGAATGTGCTTACATACTCAGTTTACATGCATGACCACACATTCATAATTCAAATGTATCTGCAATATGTTAATATAGATATTTTTAGATTTTGTTAATGGACAACAACTAAAACATATGCACAGCATAACAGTAAAAGTACAGTTAATATATAAACTTTAAATGAACAATACAAATAATTGTTTAATGAAAAGAAAAAGAGGCAAAATTAATAAAAACTATATTCATTTTTTTCCCAACAATTTCAAGCCAGTGAAAAAGTTGCTTAAATCAAGTTCATGGCTGCCCTCCTGTGGATAATTTAAATATTACCACATAAAGCCATGCCCGCATAAGCTAAGGCACATAAAGCTTGTAGCGCAAAAGTTTCACAAAATTTAAATCCTGTTATTATTTGAATCAATTCAAATTATACAAATCATATTATCATAGTTATGCTAAGCACTGAATATCATACAAGCGTCACCAATGTACGTTTTTAACCCTTTGGTATTTCTTGAAGCAAAAATTGCATTTCAATATGAAAAGTCTCGTCGTAGGACACAATCATTTCAATACATTTCCTCCTCATTTGCATTTTGTATCTTTTGATCAAATTTTTTCTCCCAGAATATTTTTCCCCCCAGAATAAATTACCACAAAGTTCAAGAAGAAGAAGAAGAAATAATTAAATACAATCATCAAATGTAAGGCCATGATATGTGTCTCGTTTCTTGCCACACAACCCTTCATCTATGTTAGCTGCTCCTCTGTGAATGTTACTTTCATTTTCATCCCAGGTCTTCTTCCTTAAGATTTCTGTTCATGTGTTTGTGTGTGCAATAGCAAGGAAGTATTCAATCTAAACAAATTGATGCAGCTTAAACCATAACAGGCAGAGGCAGGAGTAACAGGCAGGAGGTAAAGCCGGCCTCAGTCTTTACACGTGTCTGTGTGTGTGTGTGTGTGATAAGAGAAAGCAAGAGGAAGAGAGAGAGAGAGATTTCCAGTGGTCTGAAAAGAGCAGTGTTTTTTTTTTCAGTGCAATGGCTATCGCTGAATACAAAGATCAGAGATGATTTTCTGCCAACATATAAGTTTTCCTCATAGGCTTTATTATCAAGGGATACGGCAAACATATTATTTGCGAGGCTGATTTTTTTGAATAACTAAAAAAAAAGAATCTTATCCAAATTATTTTTACTATAAAATGAGATCTGGGCCTAGGGGAGAGCAGGGACAAAAGTAACATTTTCCATAAAAATAATTGTTAAAAGATAATGTTTTAAACAGAAATATATTTTGGTGGTTCATTCCGCTGTGGCGACCACTGATTAATAAAGGGACCAAGCCGAAAAGAAAATTAATGAAATGAATGAATGAATAAATTTTTGCTCTGGTTACTAACTCACAAGAGTTTTCTATCAAAAACAGGTGTTATTTTGTATCAGTGTAGAAAAACTCCAATATAACTTAACTTCAAAAAAAAGTTGCACATTGTTACTGTTGACCCCATCAGCAGGGACGAAAGCAAAACACGGGTGGGTCAAAAGTAACACAACAATATAGATTGATTTACTGGCTTAATCTTGCTTATTTTAAATATATCAGACTATGAATACCTTGTTTATGTTAACTGCAAACATATTTTGTCCTTAATTTTTTTCAAAAAATATTAAATAAACCACATTTTCATTTTTAATTTCAGTTCCATCAAATGTTTTAAAAGCAATCCAACAATGCAAAATGTTGCCATATTCTATAATTTTTTAATATTTTTTTATTATTGTATGCATTAATATGCATTCATCATACGAGTCAAAACACTAAAAACTCTAATGTGGAAGTGAAAAATAAGATATGGCTATTATCAGTGTGACATAAATAACAGTGTTACATTCGTCCCCACAGGAACACTTGCCATTTACACCTGATTTACTTTTAAACTGAAAAACTCAAGGATGTGTTATTGCACTAAATAACCTGTAGATTGATCATTAGTGTGACACATGAAACGAGAAACACGACTTGTAATAAGGAAAAACTGCTACAGTAATTTATTTTTTGCACTTAAAAACTGGAATTTGTAGCTAACTGCGGGACATGATCCTGAAATAACATGATATTTGGCAGCTCCATCAAGGGTTGTATGCTGAATGTGCTGTTATAGCCTGGAAATCAAATGTTGTCAGGGCTTCGCGAAAATTGCTTTGTTACTTTCGTGCCATTTTAATTTCGTTCCTACTCTCCCTTACTGAAAAACACAAACGATGTAACAGAGTGGAGGAACTATGACGTCAATTTGTATGCAAAAACCCGGAAGCGAGTTAGCATTTCCGATTCCCTCGTCCCAAAGTCAATAGTTTTTTTCAATGGGATTTTAGTAAAATTGCTTAAAGGGTACCTATGGTCAAAAATGTACTTCACAAGCTGTTTAAGCTGATGGTATAGACCATCATATTGGGGTGATATAAACACATCCAGTCCTTTTTTTTTTTTTTAATTTAACAACATAAAAACGATGGACCTATTGGAGCGGTTTTCAGACCGACCGCAACTTGATGTAGGAGTGCGGTCCCCCCGCCCACCGAATTGATTGACAGCTGGTGCATTAACATGTCCCAGTAGTCTAGTGTATAATCTTGTCAACAAGACAAGACGTGCGCAAAGCAACCGGGAATAAAAGGTCTGTTCAGTTCGCTAGGATCATCAATCGTCATCAAATGTTATCAAGAGTTAGTTTCACATGTTTAAAATGGTTTAAAACAGTGCACGTGTGTAATGAAGTACAGCGATTTACTTCAGCTTTACTTCATCAGCACAGCCGCGTGTCAAAACAAATATAAAGGAAGACGCTTCAATCCCGGTTTGTGGACAGTAAATCAGGTTTATTTTGTACATAAACATTACAGATATCCATACAGCAGTGGAGATTAACCTGTATCCTGTCACATTTGCGTGCAAAAAGAGTCGGAAGCAAAAGGCGCTCTGTCTGTCAGTCTGAGTGTATGTGTGTGCATGTGTATCTGTGTGTGTGTGTGTGTGTGTGTGCGCGCATGAACTTTGTAACGATATTGTGTGTGACTAATCAATGCAACTGCACAACAAATACTCATTGGTAAAGTTCTTACTGTAGTATTTCTCACAAACGCTACATAAGATCTTCTTCCTATAAGTCTCTCTGTTGTCTGACGCAGCCGAGGGAATAGATTAAGGCAAGCAGAAAGCCACATAGAAAAGGTAGGCGGGGAGGACTTGCCTTAAAGGCGCAGTACGACAAAACAACCTCCTGGTGGAAAGATGTATAAAACAAGATCTAGTAAAAGGTATAATGAAAAATCTGATGGGTGTTTTGAGCTGAAACTTTACAGACACATTCTGGAGACGCAAAACACTTATATTACATCTGAAAATAGAGGTAACCTAGGTGCCCTTTAAATAAGGTTTGTGGCTAATACAAACTCAATATACTTTCACGTTTTATTCTACCACATGTAACATCAGTTATTACATTCTTGATTTATTTAATAGGTTATGCTTCTTTTAAAAGACGACGCAATTACACTGCAATTTGTAACTTTTTGATTTAGTGGCTAATTCGTATAAATTCGTACAATCTAATTTGTACAATTTAGTACAATTTGCTCATCACCCAAAGACCAGCCTGATCTCACGAGAAAACGTAAGTATTTTACGTTTTGCCTGTTTAGTGGCTAATTCGTACGAATTCGTACGAGTTCAGTCGTACGAAATGGTACGATTTCAAAAAGGAGGCATGGCACCTAACCCCACCCCTAACCCCAATTTGTGTAATTGTGTTGCAAAGACGGTTGGGGTTACGGGTAGGGTTGGGTGCCACGCCTCCTTTTTAAAATCGTACAATTTTGTACGACTGAACTCGTACAAATTAGCCATTAAACTGACAAAACGTAAAATACTTATGTTTTCTCGTAGCTGGCTGTTCGGTTCACTTTCCGCTATAAACATAACATAGACGCCAGTTGGTTTACTATATAATGGAATGGAATATTGAGTTGTTGGTGGGGGTTTCTCGCTTTCTCTTTGCACCCCATTCCCTCTTTTCTGATGTTTCACCAGCCTGCTTTTTTAAACTGAAGTTGTCGTTCAAAACTATTAGTTCCATCTAAATTTTTTTTATAAAACTATTAAAAACCTTCACAGAAAATGTATAACCTACAAATGTCATTAAAATTCATTTCACAATTTTTCGAAATCATTTAAACATTAAAAGGCAGTCTATTTTTATAGGTTTTTGTGTGTTCTAGGATGGAATTGATATTAACATGCCATCAAAAAAAGCAAATATTAAGAGACCAATAAGATCAATACAGTTTCCAATAAAACTAAAATAATTAATTGTATAAGGATTAAACAATAAAACAACAACAAAAACTGTTTAACTTAACAGTTTATATGGGGCTGTTTTCACCAGTCAGTGTGTGAAATGTGAAATTCAAGCTGTCAGACAGAAAGAGTTGAGAAATGCACAGAGTCTAAAATGATACACTAAAAATAAAGTGGCGTAGAGACATCCTTCTCAGAAATTAGCATTTCACAAGCAGTTAAAATAAAATAGAAAGCAACAATTAATTCAATTTAAATGTAATAATCCTTGTTTTATTTGCAAATTATATTTCTTCACAGTGTCCAATAATATGTAGTCAGATTATTTGTGGTATGATGAAATGTAGTCCGGCAAAGATTTCTATCTGTGAGTCTGTGATTTCTGCACAATAAGCATCAACAGGTATTACCTAATAATGAATCAATTCATCTTCCAAATCGTCATGTAATCCATTGGTTACATCCTCGCCATTACACTTGCAGGGCAGGGTGCTTAAAAAAAGCAATGTTTTGTTCTAAAATAGCTCATTTTTAATTAAAAAATGTATTATTTCTTATTCTAAAATGAATTAATAAATTATAATCTTAAATCTCAATTAAAAAACTATAATAAGAGAATATTTTAACCCATACACAATATAATTTTTTCATGAAAATCTTGAATGTCACTAAAAATATCTCAATTTGTGCTCAGAAGGTTCACATTTATTTATTTATTTATTTATTTATTGTTGTTATTGTTATTATTGTTATTATTTTACCAGGAATTTCTCATTGAGATATGCATCTCTTCAACCAGGGGGTCCTTGCCAAAATGGCAGCACAAAAAGTTCCAGATTCAAAATTAGACACACATAAAATATAACAAATTAAAATTTACACAAAACATTTACATGATTCTTTAAGGCAAGGCTTCAAAAGATTTTCAAAAAGTTGGAATTGTTTCCTACATGATAACACTTATATTTTCATATTTAGCTGCCAGAAAGATATTACAGTGCCAAATAACTTGTTCTGTACAGTGGTGGGATTACAATTACAAAGCAACTGCCGTTTCGGGTTTACTACACTAATTTTTTTCACATGTATTCTTTTATTTAATGAGTAATTTTTAAAACTGTTCTCTTGCAGATCCATTTGTTTAAATTTGCACATGACTTTTCTCTCCACCCTGCTGAAGTGATCATAGCACAGTAATAATGACTGTGCCGATTGAAGTACCTGAAACAACAATGAAGCAATGGTTGGATTATTGGTAGACTCAGTCAATTATGAGTATGATCTGATAATGAGAGAGACTATTAGAATAAACAGATCAGTAATTTCTCACCAATCGGTCAATAAACTGCCATCGACCCAATTCCACTGTCTATAATGTTTCTTTGTCAGACCAATCCAATAAAAATCTGAAGCTGCGACCTTTAGTAAACACTTCTGTAAGTGAACAGTTATATATTATTAATTGGCAACTCCACTGTAAAAGAATATCTGTAAATTAATGTTTTAAGTCCATTCAGTTTTAAAACAGCTCCTATTATGGATTTTTGAAAGTGACCTTCTTTTCATGCAGTGTGTAACACAGCTCTAGGTGAATGAAAATATCCTGCAACGTTTAATTCTAAATGTGCATCTTGTATAAAGTTAATGTCTTTTAACCTTGAAAAAGTGACTTTTATGAACACATAATGTTCACTCACCAGCCATTTTATTAGGTGCACCTTAGTACCGGGTTGGACCCCTTTTGCCTTCAGAACTGCCTTAATCCTTGCTGGCAGAAATTCAGAAATATTCAGAAATAGAGATTTTGGTTCATATTGTCATGATCATGCATCACGCAGTTACTGCAGATTTGTTGGCTGCACATCTATGATGCGACTCTCCTGTTCCACCACATCCCAAAGGTGCTCTATTGGATTGAGATCTGATGACTGTGGAGGCCATTTGAGTACAGTGAACTCATTGTCATGTTCAAGAAAGCAGTCTGAGATGCTTCGCGCTTTATGACATGGTATGTTATCCTGCTGGAAGTAGCCATCAGAAGATGGGTACACTGTAGTCATAAAGAGATGGACATGGTCAGCAACAATACTCAGGTTGACTGTGGCAGTGACACGATGCTCAATTCGTACTAATAGGCTCAAAGTGTGTCAAGAAAATATCCCCCACACCATTACACCACCAACAACAACCTGAATCATTGATACAAGGCAGGATGGATCCATGCACTCATGTTGTCGACGCGAAATTCTGATCCTAGCATCAAAATTGACACTCATCAGACCAGGCAACATTTTTTCAGTCTTCTATTGTCCAATTTTAGTGAGCCTGTGCAAATTGTAGCCTCAGTTTCCTGTTCTTTTCTGACAGGAATGGCACCTGGTGTGCCTGGTCTTCTACTGCTGTAGCCCATCCGCCTCAAGGTTGGACGTGTTGTGCGTTCAGAGATGCTCTTCTGCATACCTCAGTTGTAACGAATGGATATTTCAGTTACTGTTGCCTTTCTATAAGCTGGACCCAGTCTGGCCATTCTCCTTTTAACTCACCTCATCCTTAAGACCGCCTCCAAATAAGTCACTCACCTTTGCATGAACAAAAGCACCCACAACCCTCTTTACTTTGTGTGATCATAAGAATCCCTTGCGTTAACGAGCAATTGGATAGGTGTACCTAATAAAGTGGCCAATGTGTGTGTATATTATGGTACAAAAACTTTGTAATAAACTGCATATTTTGGGTTCTTTTACAGACCTACCTCTCTATATATTATTATATTATATTACTTCAAACTGCTAAACTTTCAATTAAAGTCTCTTTGTTAAACTGTAGAGTTGAAATTTCAAAATCAAAAGTTGAGAGAGCAGAGATCAAGGTCCAACCATACAATTTACTACCGTAGATAAACAGAAAACACAAAATAATAAACTGTTAATTGACTGAAATATTTTACAGTGTAAATTGTAAAAAAAATAAAAATAAAAATGTGAATTTCACAGACCAACAGTGACTTACTTTTTCCTCTGGGCTCTTTATGATGGCCAGATCTGCATTTCTCTGTTGACAGTCTCGTCTGCTGTCCTCCCAGCTCTTCTTTTCAGATGAAATATAATAGAAACTGAAGTTGTAGTAAATCCACTTAAAGTTGTCAGAGAGCTGATCTGTAAACACAATCAGTTTAGAGAATTAAGTTCTTTCCATGCAAAAATGTATGCAGTATCAGGATTGAATTCATTCCTCATTACCAGTTGAGCTCAAAAGTTTACATATATATATAATCAGTTAAACAGAATAAACATAGAAAACCTTGCTCATAAAAGCCAAGCTGGAGTTCATCAATCTTGTTTTTTATCTGCTGTCTTTCTTCAATGAGGTTAGTGATGTTGGTTATCGTCTCCTCTCTTTCCTCATTGAGTTTAGTGATGTTGGTTAGTATCTCCTCTTGTTCTTCGATGAGTTTAGAGATGTGTGTTAGTAAGTGTTTTCTCTGGATGATGAAAAACACACAGAGCACTATAACAGCCGTCAGCAGAAGAGCACACAGCAAACACACACACACTTCAACTGCTCTCTGCTTTCTGCTTTTCACCGAGACGCTTCCTGAGGAAGAAGAACACAAGATGTTGACTTTTTATACACTCTTATGATAGTAACAACTTAATTACATTTACGTACCTGTGATTTGAGGTGGCTGGTGTTTCTGTGCAAGTGTCTTCAGATAAAGATGTCCTTCGGTATTGAAGTTTTCATAAACAGCTTCAGGTATTGCTGAGTCTGTCATTATGATGCTGTGTTAACGGTATGTTTGTTAAAGCTGCACTGCTTTGCTCTACAGCTCTACACTTTAAATTACTAAACTTCTGAAACCAACATTTCAACACCAGCTGAAGACAAATCTTTTTTTTTCGTAACCACGTTACCTAATTCTAAAAAGAAGAAGGAAGAAAAATCTCTTCTCAGCATCACTCCTCTGCTTAGTTTGTTTCCTAATCTAGCTTTCCAACAAAACATGGCATTGTATGTTGCTAATTGTTGATTCATATGTCCAATTGTTTATGCAATTGTGAGTTAAAATGTGCTTAAATGTAAACAATTTTATAATAACACAATCAACATGATCCCATGATAAACATGTACTAGTTTCATTGTGGTCTTTGCTTCTGTTTTTTTCGGTTCGTCCTTTCTTTCTCATGTATTCTAGTTCCTTTTATTGGTTAAGCCGGAAAGTTTCAACAGGTCATTACTAAATGTATCGCATTACCTTTTTATTGTCAAAGTTATGACCAAAAATGGATATGTCTGTTTTAAGAATTTCAACTAGAATAATTAAATTATTATTATTATTATTACTCATATATTAATAAAATTGTTTTAATCATGTTTCAATCTCGTACAAGTTTTCTAAGTTGCAAAATGTAACTTGATTTCCTTAGTCAGTTTAATGTAAGTGAAACTTTATTTGATTCAAATTAAAAATTGAAGGCAACTATTTTTATTTTTAGTAATTGAGAGAGCTCTACATATATATTATTACAAGTAACAATTACAGTCAGAGGGCTCAGTTATTACTATAGGAATTGTCATTGTAGCGCTCACTGTTCGCCTGCACACTCTTTGATCTGTAGCGGACGTAATGAGATCTTTCCGTCGCATGAACATTTTGAAAGCTACGGGCCCAGATGGCATCCCTGGACGTGTACTTAAAGCATGCGCACACCAGCTAGCGGGAGTTTTCATAAACATCTTTAAAGGGCCATGAAACCCCCTCGTTTCAGCAGGGTGTTTTCACACCTCTACTTTGGAAAAAGTCAGAAAAGTGGGCGTGTCCAGCTCTGTTTAGGGGGGAGTGTCGGAGGAACTAAAGTGGGAGGGTGTGGGAGTGTCTATTTGGGCACGCGCGAGTTTCAGTCAAAATACTCACACACAGGAGAAAGAGATGGTGTTTAACCTACATGGACATCTGTAGTGGAATTATTTGCCAAATTATTAAATGGTGGACTTTAACTGCAGTTTGGCTCTTTCATTCAGGGAATTCATTCATGTCCCTCGCGACAAACGAGATATTTGATTCGAGGATCTGCTCTAAGCGTGTATTTTTCATGCAATGTTTAATATCGCATGGCGAATGAAAGAAAAAAAAAACCTCCGCATTTTCCGGAAACTTAGATGCACACGGCAGGTAGCGTCAGAAAGCCGCGTGTGTTATTCCGGTCACTAAATGCGGTTAAAAACCCTACACGAGGTTAAAGTTTGGTTGTGGTCCTAACATGTTACGGTGCAATAGTTTACTTAGTTCGATACGAACAAACTGAATAAACAAAGAGTACTGGTCGCTCACTTACCAAATCTGTAGAGACAGGACAATCACCAGCAACTAGAGCCGCGTCTTTATTAAGAGGAGACTAAAGCGAATCCGGATCTCAGCGTTTGCAGATGAGAACAGCTCTCAGGTAAACAATAATCCTCCTTAGACACGCAAGTTATTGTTGTCGAGCGTCGCGTACACTGTTAATCCACACGTGAGTCTGAGCTCTCACAGAGAGAAAAAGAAAACGAAACTTAACGGCAGCAAACTATAAAACCAACACTTCACGCTTGTTTTGCCAACACAACGTGGCGTCTCTGTCGTGTAAACACAGTAATGAATATTAATGAAGTTGCACAATAGAGCGCGCTGATTGGTTTGAACCAAGCCTTACTCATGCACTAATGCAACAAACTGTAAGATGTAATAAGACTCATTCAGGCACAGACGTCCAGTCTGCAGGCTGGAATACAACGCTATTATGTCATGACCGTGACGCCGCTTCAAAAATTCGTTTCAAACAGGAAGTACGAATTTGCTTGAAATAACGCAAAAACAACCAATTTACACTTTTTAGTGAAATATAGGTGTCCTAATAGTGTTTTTAGCAGTGTGGGACACATATATGACTGTCAACAGCTCAAAAAATGTGTTTTGGTGTTTCGTGACCCTTTAACCTCTTGCTCTCTCTGTCTGTGGTTTCCACATGCTTTAAGACAGCTACTATTGTGCCAATAGCAAAATCAGCTAAAACCACATGCTTGAATAACTGGTGTCCGGTTGCTCTGACACACATCTACAGCAAGTGCTTTGAGAAGCTGATTAAAAACCACATCTGCTCGGTACTGCCCGCTCACACTGACCCTCTGCAATTTGCATACAGGAATAACTGCTCCACTGACGATGCAATTGCTTTCACCGTGCACACTGCTCTGTCTCACCAAGCAAACAAAAACACATATATGAGAATGCTGTTTGTGGACTACAGCTCAGCATTCAACACCATAGTGCTTGCCAAGCTGGTGGTGAAGCTCCAGCCACTGGGTCTACACAGCTCTCTGTGCAACTGGATCCTGGACTTCCTGTCAAGCAGACGCCAGGTGGTCAGAATGAACAGCATTACCTCTTCCACACTGATCCTCAACACTGGTGCTCCACAGGGCTGTGTTCTCAGCCCACTCCTGTACTCCCTGAGGTGAGCTTCCCTCCCTCCAGGACATATGTAGCAATATGTAGCATGCATTGTACTTTAATCAATCCATACTTAAAACAATACTGCCTACAACTACTGGTGCACATATTCATTGTTCATATTGCTGTCAATTTTATATTGTCCCGTTTTTTTTTTTTTGTTTGTTTGTTTTGGGAGTATGCTGTTGTATTTTGCACTGGCTGTATTTTGTACTGTCTGGAGCCAGCACCTAAGCTTTTTAATCATCATAGCACAAATGCTGCTGATGATGTGACAACAAAAGTGATTTGATTTGATTTGATACAGATGCATCTAAAGATAGTGGAAACAGAGTGGGGGTAGCATACACAGTAATAGATTTTAGAATAAAAGTTATTAAAAGAATCTCAGATGATGTATCAGTTTATACTGGAGAAATGGTGGCAATACTAATGGCACTTCAATGGATTGAGGAAAACAGATCATTAGGAGCACTGGTATGTTCGGACTTAAATTCCTCACTGATGATGTTAGAGACATTCTGAAAGCAGAAAGGATATATTGATCGAAATATTGCAAACACTGCATTGCATTCGGATGATGGGATTAGAAGGTCTGTTGGGTTTTAGCTCATAGTGGAAATTAAGGGAAGAGTAGGCAGACGAGGGCGCTAAATAGGCTTCAAGAAATTCATTATAGACATGGAATTAAAATATAGTAAAAGTGAGATAAAGGTTTTAATCAAGCGACTTTTAAAAAATATTTGAAAAAAAACAATGAGAGACAGGAAAAAACGGGAGGTGGTTGTTTAATATACAAAGAAATGTGGATAAAGGAAGAATAAGTAGAAGTAGGAGGGAAGAGAATATAATTTCAAGAATTAAATTTGGACATCCAGGACTTAACAGTACATTGTACAAAATGAAACAACATCAGACTGGAAAATGTGGTTATCGTGGGCAAGAAGAAACCATGGAGCATGTAATTATGAAATGTCCAAAGTGCAATAGGGAAAGAATTTTAATTTGTTTAAAATGCTAAAAAAAAAAAAAAAAAAACAAGTCAGATGAGGACTGTATAGAATTTTTAATACTAAAAAAAAAATCTAAATTAGATAAAAGAATATAGATAGAAGTGGTGTACGTGTTTTTTTTTTTTACTTTTCTAAAGATAGATAGAAAAAGTGATCATGGCCCACACTCCTAACCAACAGGTGGCGGCAATGCACCAAGAAGTTGTATGCTAACCGCCAATAAAACTCATGAGAAGAAGAAAAAGAATGTCTTGTGCCAGATTGTTGGCTGTTTCTCAATTCCAAGAATAGGAAGAACGAAGAGAACTTGTGTTATTGTGGAGACCAGTCTTGCCAGGTGTCCCAGGACGAACCAACTCTGGAGACCGCGAGGGCAGAGAATGTGTCCTTTGAGAAATGAGATGCTGCATTCTTCATGATAGTCACGTGACCTTCACGTGTTTTAAATTGTAAATTATTTAAACAGTGCAGCATTCATACAACGATTTATTGTTTTTTCCCATTTCAAAATATATACTCTGCATAAAAACATTATAAATATACATTGCACAATATAAATAAAACAGATTTTAATACGAATTTCAGCATATGTTTATTAATTTATTAAAATGTTCATGGTAATGTTTACTTTCACCGTTTAATTTAGGGAAACTCCTGAAGTAAATAAGCGATCTCTTTAAACTTTAATATTAAATCTAAATAAAATGCAACGCTTCCTACCTCCAGTCGCAATGACTTCTGGGACTTCCAGAGCGAGTTCGCTGCTCGAGTCTGCATCAGTGCGTCCTCGATATCAAGAACACATCCAGGGAAGTTTCACGCGTCCTCTGTTCTTGCGGTCTTAAGAATTGGAACTGAAATTTGGCAGTTGATGATAACGTTGCACGAGAACACGAGGACGCAGACAGCTGAAGAACGCATATTGAGAAACAGTCGTTGTGCTTGTTCCTTGATCTCGCCCATAGATATATACATTAGATGTTGCCTACGCCATTGTTGTCCATAAGAAGAAATGCGACTGTCTTGATAAGTGCGGTTGAATGACACTTATCCAGGGAGCACTGTACAAATATGGCAGCGCTATTGAAGCATGCTCAGGGTCCCTATACGATATTTAGTGTATATATCTATGGATCACGCTGACCCTGCTCGTATCTTTGCCTAGTTAAGCTAGTTTACTGCTCTTGTTTATGGAGATAGTTTATATCTAGTCTTGTCTTGAGGCTCCAGTGCTGATTTGCTTTACCTCTGCCTCTCCCCTGTATGTTAGAGTTTCCTGTTATCACTACTCACCGTGATCATATCCTTGCTCGCTGTCTATGGCTCCAGCTGGTTTCGTTGTGTCATCCGATACCCGATATTATAAATAAAACTAACTGTTGCTTGCAATTGAATCCAATCTCTTTCCTGACTATTATTGACGTTCAAACGATGGATCTGCGACAGTGTCTAGGGAAACACTCCTCACTACATCAATCTTTTCCCAAATGAGGCATTGTACTATGATAGTTCAGACGCAAGTTATGCTGTTGTTTGGGGAAATGCACCCCTGTAAAGTAACTTTTTATTTCAATAAGTGTTTTCAGTGAACTGTTATGTCACATACTTAAGATCAGCCTTCAAAAGCAATGCCTTTACAGCCGCAACCCATCTCTGGGTAACATCCACACACACTTATTTACACTCATACACTACAGACAATTAAGCTTACCCAATTCACCTGTATCCCAAGTCTTTGGACTGTAGGAGAAACTGGAGCACACAAAGGAAACCCACACGAACGCAGGGAGAACATGTAAACTCCACACAGAAACGCCAACTGAACCAGCCGTGGCACCAGCGAACAAGCAACCTTCTTGCTGTGAGGGGACAGCACTACCTACTGCGCCACTGCGTCGCCACATCTTTAAAATATTAACATTTATTTTACCATAGTATCTTCTATGGATGTAGCAGCACTCTAGTGCTCTTATTTCACTGCTTATAGGTTTAAATTTAAACATCTTTTAGTAACAGATTACAATGAGAATAAAATGCATTAAATAATGCCTAACCAGTGCTCAGATAATCGTGAGGTAAAGCATAACACATGTGAGCTAAACCATTTTTTTAATGATTACAATGGTGGTCAAGAGAGCTTAATGTGCTGCAACTTAAGAGAACACATGCACATAGAAAAGTCACCAGCAAATTAAGAAACCATCTTCATCAGTTTGACATTACACGTGACAAAGCCTCACAATGCAAACTCAAATAAAAATTGCAACGCAAATCCTAGATTACCGCATGAGCAACAAATAACCATGTATATTCTGTATAATTCATACATTAAGTTATCTATAAATTGTTATATACAGTATATATATATTTAGCAAGTACAGTTGAAATTCCCCAATTTCTGTTTATTGGAGAGAAGATGCCATGATGGCAGTAAATAATATTTGACTAGATATTTTTCAAGACACTTCTATACATCTTAAAGTGACATTTAAAGGCTTAACTAGATAAATTAGAGTAACTAGGCAGGTTAGGGTAATTAGGCAAGGTATTGTTAAATAATTATTTGCTCTGTAGATTATCGTGAAAAAAATATATAGCTTAAACGGGCTAATGATTTTGTTCCTTATATAGTGTTACAAAATGTAAAAAAATCACTTTTATTCTAGGAGAAATAAAACAAAAGACTTTCTTCAGAACAAAAAATATTATCAGACATGCTGTGAAAATTTCCTTTCTTTGTTAAACATCATTTAAGAAATATTTTTAAAAATTTAAAAAATTCAAAGGGGGCTAATAATTCTGCACCATAACCCATCAATTCCAAGAAAATTCAGCAGGTTAGATCAAAAAGATTTAGATGTGAAATTTATAATATAAAGATAATTTCATTGTTTTCAATAAACTTTTAAAATGACAAAAGAAGTCTTAGTCAATAAAAGACATAATTTTATTTAACATTTATATTTGACATTTATTTTATTACAACTTCCATAATGATTGTGGCAAAGCATAATGACATGGTTTAGTGCTGTTATACAAACAGCCGCATGCAAAGAGAGAGAGAGAAAGAGAGAGAGTATTTTAAAAAAAAAAACAAATGTAAAGATCCAACAGGAACAACACATTCAAATTGAATGACCTGACAAAGTAAAGCCCCATTCAGATCGTACAATTTTTACTGTTTAGATAAAATCTTGACAATATTGCCAGACTATGACATTCTGTCATTAAAAAGCTGCATAAATGACAAACGTCTTAGCAATTGTCTATAGGTTTCACCACTGACAGCAGTTTTCTCCCTAAATATTTACAATATTACCACAAAATTACCACAAAATTACCTTATTTTGAAATAAAACATAGTGAGTTTGTTTATTAGGTGATTGTGCTAAAATCTGCCAAAATATTGTGTTATCTGAACAGGGCTTAAAGAAACTTTTAACATATTTTAAATGGTATTTATGAAATATATGAAACTGAATAAAGAACAATCTAGGTCAATCCAAGAATATAAAACAAACAAGATAAAAATAAGATGTCCTTGGTGCAGTGTGTGTGTGTGTGTGTGTGTTTGTGTGTGTGTGTGTGTGTGTGTGTGTGTGTGTGTGTACTTGTTACATAATGAGTAATTTAAGGGTTAATATGTGTCCTCTCACAGATCCATCCATGTAAGGTATTGCAGGCATAAGAAAAGTACTTTGTTTCGGACACTACAGCGCAGTTGATGCTGTCAGACCCAAACCTAAAACATTCAATATTTAAACATCAGAATTTGTACTTTGCACCTTGCTAGATATTATTGTCCCTATTGGGAGGGGAAATTCAATGCTATGTGGAAAACTTCCACTATGTTAATTTTGTCATAATCCAATTATCTGAAAGAGCAATAAAACGAGCCAATGTAATGCCAATGAGTTGGCAGCGTCAGCGTGCACAGCTGGCTTCAGTTACAATCAATATTGTATAAAAACGCCGCTCGTGCCACGCTGAGGCATCCTTTTCATTTTAAAAGCCTTTCACAAAGCTTCTGAGAGAGTCATATGAGGGTTTCTCCGACTGTGATCAACGGAGGGAATGAGAGAAAGATAAAGCAGGCTGCTTCTCCCAGTCCAGAATGTGTGAAAAGTGGCGTCAGACGGTCAAGCTGTGTTTCTCCCTTGCCTGGTGTTCTTTGGGCCTAGTCCTCCAGAGCGGTTTGTATTGTTGCAAGTTTCATAAAAAAGCAACACGGTTGTGCAGTATGTCTTTTTTAAGAAGTCGTTCCGACCGTGAGTTTCAGGATGCAGTGGTTTCCTGTCCCTGGATGATGTCTCTTAGAGCCAGAGCCTACACAGCCGAGGGGCAGGCTGCTTCCACCTTCCATGCTATGGCCACCTACCAGCGCTAACAAGCGCAGGCGCTGGCCCAACTGCACGAGGGTGGTTCTGGCGGAGGCTTGTTGCATGAGATACACAATGCAACCAACTAGGCTCTGCGTACCACCAAGTCAGCTGTGTGTGCCCTGGGAAGGACGATGGCCACAGTAGTGGTCCAAGAACACCACCTCTGACTAAACCTGGTGGATATGTGCAAAGTTGACAAATTTCGCTTTCTTATCTCACCCACATCCCAAGCTGGCTTGTGCTCTTAGCCAGGCGGAGGTCTGGGCTCTACATCGCTCTATGACAGTAATATTTTTTAATGCCACCAAAACCTCAAAGAATGAGATGAATACTTTAGCGGTAGTTCTACCAGGAAGACTGAGGTGTCACGTCATTCATAATAATTATCTCATCAGCCTATAACAAGCAAGCAAGCAATGTATATAAGCTTATCTAAACAATCTGTTTAGTTGCCACTGCCAACGTTGTTTATGTCTCACAAGTTTGTTAATTTCTCTATCCGTGTTCACGTAACAGCTCAAAGTTGAAGGTTAACAGTTTCGTCAAATCACTTCAATTTCGCTATTGATTGATTTCGCCATTTCGATTTCATTACTCGCCGATCCGCCGCTCGTACTTTTAATGTCCTTGCACAAGTTAATGTTACTAGCTTTTAGCACTTCTAACGTTAGCTCCTACTCGCAAAAAATGTACTTCACGTAATTATGAATTTAATAATGCTGAAATCGTACAGTATTCATATGCAGACTACTATGTTGCCTTTTAAACAACCTAGAGCTTAACAGATTGTCCATTTCATGAAAAAGCCCAACGGGGCTCCACCTCGCACAGCGAGCCCAAGGGGGCTCCGTCTCACACATCAAGCCCAAGGGAGCTCCGTCTCGCACAGCAAGCCCAACGGGGCTCCTTCAATCTCTTGGCCTGTCGCGGCACACGCTCGATGTCTTCGGCCCGTCGGGGCACGCTCTCAATCTTCTCTACACATCAGGGCACGCTCTCAATCTCTTCGGCTGGTCGGGGCACACTCTGAATCTCTTCGGCCCGTCGGGGCACTCTCTCTCTCCTCTGCCCGTCGGGGCACTCTCTCTCTCCACTCTGCCCATTGGGGCTCTCTCTCTCCTCTGCTCGTCGGGGCACTCTCTCTCTGTCTTCTTTGCTTGTCGGGGCACACGCTCTCTCCTCTGCTTTTCGGGGAACGCTTTCTCTTTTCCACCCATTCGGGAAATCTCTCTCTCCTCTACCCGTTATGGCATGCTCTCTCTTTTATCTTCATTGGGGCTTCTAGCAAATATTAGCCTAATTGTGTGCTTCGCTTTATCTTCATGTTGGATCTCTTATATACCTCTCTGCCCATAAGGGCACTATTTAATCTCCATTTTGCATGAATATACAATGTAAGCTATCTCATCTCTAGTCATTCTGTTTTAGGATTGCTACAAAACTGAACCCTAAGTTTTGTCTTTTAGGGTTGGCTTCGCCCTGCCTTCATCTTCAGGCAGGATCTGCCAGCTCATCCAGAGTTCTGCACTATAGACGGGGCTTACGCCAAAGAACTTTATGAAAGGACCATAACAAACTCTCACTCATGGAAACAATTCACAATAAATGTTCAAACGTTTATCTACCTCCTAAAGTCTTTCTGGTAGAAATGAAAGCTTTAGCGGTAGTTCTACCAGGAAGACTGAGGTGTCACGTCATTCTTAATAATTATCTTGTTAGCCTATAACAACCAAGCAAGCCATGTACATAAGCTCATCTAAACAATCAGTTTAGCTGTATATAGGTGACGTTGAGGAAGTTTCCCTCCATCCACCCCATCACCACTACCACCAGGTCGGCCTCGTCTCCTCTCAGGGGGTTGGCTTCGCCCTGCCTTCATCTTCAGGCAGGATCTGCCAGCTTATCCAGAGTTCTGCACTATAGACGGGGCTTACGCCAAAGAATTTTATGAAAGGACCATAACAAACTCTCAATCATGCAAACAATTCACAATAATTGTTCAAACGTTTATCTGCCTCCTAAAGTCTTTCTGGTAGAACATTTTTTTTCATTTTCACCGGATGTGACATCCCGAACACTGCCAGTCTGGCATGCTATGTCTTCCAGCTTGCATGATCAGTGCACTTCAACTATGGTGCGCGGGGTGTGGGAGGACGGTCTCCCTTCTCTCACACTTCCAGCCCCTCCTCCAGAGCCTGGGTGTGAGGTGAGTGTTAATCTCTCGACTCCTGCTCTTTTGCGAGACCCCAGCACTCCCCGGTTGAGCCCTCCCACTCCGTGCTGCTCCACTGCTGGTACATCAGTGATCATGCCAATCGTCTGCATGATCAGACTTGACTATGCAATTCAATTTGCAAAACAGCCTTCCAAGTTCATGGGCATGTATTTCACCGGGGTCAGCCCTATGTCTGCCCTGTCTTGCCAGAGGAGATTGCTTTACTCTTGTCGAAGAATGCAATCGAGCTGGTCCCTCCAGACGAGATGGAGAGTGGGTTTTACAGCATGTACTTCATCGTACCCAAAAAGAGCGGTGGGTTACAGCCAATCCTAGATCTGCACATTTTGTACTGCTACCTTCACAGGCTGCCATTCAGAATGCTTACAAAGAAGCACATCATCTGATGCGTTCGTCCTCTGGATTGGTTTGCACTAACAGATCTGAAGGAAGCATACTTTCATGTCGTGCTTCCATGCCACCGTCAGTTTCTGCAGTTTGCATTCGAAGGTTGAGCCTGGCAGAACAAAGTCCTACCCTTCGGGCTCTCTGCCTCCACGGCTAAAATCAATGCGCGTCATTCATATTCCAGGCCAGCTAAATCATGTGGCCAATGTGCTCTCATGACAGCTTTTATTGCCAGGAGAATGGAGACTCCTCGAGTCTGTCCAGCTGATATGGGCGCGCTTTGGGAAAGCCCAGGTTGACCTGTTTGCTTTCTCTGAAATTGCACATTGCCAGTGGTTCTTTTCCCTGACCGAGGGCTCCATCGGCACGGATGCACTGGCCCACAGCTTGCCTCAGTGCATGCGCAAATATGCGTTTCCCCCAGTGAGCCTGCGCACACAGCTACTGTGCTCTCTGGCCCAACCGAGCCTGGAAATCAGAACTCTCCCTCCTCGTGATGGCCAATCCCTGGCAGATTGGTGAAGGTTTCTACCAAACCATTTAAGGACCAAGTAGTGAGCCTGCAAGAGCTGCCCACAGAGTAGGCAGACCCAGCCCTTTCATCACTGTGTCTTGTTCACGCTTTGTGAATTTATGTGGACCACACTCAGAGCTTTAGATCCTCTGAGCAGCTCTTTGTCTGTTACGGTGGTCGGCAGTAGGGAAGTGCCATATCTAAACAAAGGGTTGGCCCACTGGATAGTGGATGCCATCTCTCTCACTTATCAGAGCCAGGGGGATCCGTGTCCCCCAGTGGCGAGAGCAAACTCCACTCGGAACGTCGCATCCTTTTGGGCATTTGCACGCGGCGTCTCTCTAATAGACATCTGTAGAGCTGCGGGCTGGGCAACACCTAGTACATTTGCAAGATTTTACAATCTGTAAGTGGAGCCTGTTTCCTCAAAGGTGCTGGGAAACCCTGGTGAATGAGAAAATTCAATTGGGTGTTGTAACACACTTGCCGGATTTTTTCGGTCTAACACAGAGATACGTGCGCTCTCTCGCTTTGTCAGTTGAGTTTCCCACTTGGCGAATCCTGCAGAGTTCTTTCGAGGTCCCCAGCATCTGACTCAGTGGAGGAGTCAGATGTGTGCCTGTTACGTTGTTGGCATGCCCGCTGGTCAGCCCACGTTTCGGTTATAAGTGCCTGCTATGCACAATCTCCGCTAGCGATCCCATATGCTCACTCAGCCACGATGTAGTTCCCCCCTTCTTGGGTGGGCTCTGTTTTCCCTCCTCACTAACCATCTTCTCATATGAGCACTCCCCCTTCTCAGGGCTAGTCCATATGCCTTCTTGCCACCAGGTCTTCCCATTGAGGTAGCAGGTGGCCTCCACGGTGTCCTCCCTGTCGGATCTTTTCAAGCGTATTGTCATGTTTAAAATTTCTAGAACTTAACTATGTGTATTTTTACGACTCCCGAAAAATATATCTAAACAAATAAATCTTCTTAGGTAAGTGAGGTAAGTAAGGGTCAGGGGACATGTTAGAAGGCTGCACCTCTGGTGAGGCAGGTGCGGTCATGCTGGAGCTTGGCATAACATGTCACCAGAGACGTGGTAAGTTTCAATTGTTGTGTTTTTTATCATATATTTCCACATAGCATTTACATTCCCCCCCTCGGGGAATGAGGGTTACTTTAGTAACTGTTATACTCTGTTTATCATATGATACTAACTGTATATAGTAAATTGGTGATCACTCACCCATTTGCCACTAAAGGGTCATCAATCCATATCCAATTGTCTCCATTTGTCTGTCTCCAGCCAACCCATAAATTGTTATTCTGAAGAACCTTTTGCAAAAATGTCTGTAATGATAAATTATAGGTCTATATTTTATTTCTGCATAAAACATGATTACAATTCACTTGACCACCTTTTTATGTTCAATTAAATAAAGTAAATGATTTGCATTAGGGTAGATCGGAGGTTCAAACCTCAGAAAAAATAGCAGAATGCAAGATGGTAGGATGATTAAAAGAAAATTACTAAATTACATTTTAATAATAATAAAAAAACAAGAACAATATCAGAAATACAGAAATACACATAAAATGCATAAAAAAAATGACAAGATCTCCCACCTCCTGACCCACAAGCAATCATGTACCATGACAATTGCCTAAACTGCAAAAGCTTTAGTATATAAGAAGGTAGTATTTAATTTATTTTGTGCAGAATATGAGAAGTCAAAAGTCAAAAACAGAATCCTTTGTGAATTTTTCACAGGGAAAGAAGGCCCTAAGACTGAAACCGTTTCAAATGTAGCAGCAGAAAACACAAGCCCAACTCTGCGGCAAAGTGTGAAGATCAACAGAAAAGCAAATGAAAGTTTTTAAACCTGTAAAGTTAGAAAGTACATGCCCATTAACAAGAGGAGACTGAAGAGATTGAGTCAGCAACTCAGGTACTTAGCAAAAGCTTTACGCCCCATTCACATGAGGCTTCAGCGTCAACGCTTGACAGAGGGTGTGTCTGAGGTTGGGGCTGGCGCGATCGTCATAGCAGCGTCATCCAATGAAATTAGTGAGCAATAGACCATAGTATTAGTATAGCAATTGTATTGGCTGACGCCTCCGTCGGCGCTTGAAAAGTTGAGCAAGTCCCAACTTCTGAGGCAAGCAATGCCTTTGAAGCGGCGGCAAAGGATCCACAATGCAGTTTGGCAATGCTTGACGTCATGCATTCAAAGTGAATTGAAAGCGTTGAAGCTGACGCCCCGTGGGAATGGGGCAGACAGTCAATCAAAAGTTTAGCAAAATAACAACATACAACTAAAAAAAAAAAAAAAAAAAGATTTTGCGCGCTGAACTTCTTGATGACAAGTCATGTGGTAAATTAAAATGAATTCCTCTTATAGTGATAATACACTGTCATGCCAGATTACCACATATTTGGAAACATTTTCTTGAAAAGATCATCTGTGCTACACTGTAAAAAATGCTGGTCCACAAAATTAATTCATGTTGTCCTAACATAAACTTAGTTGTTTTTGCTGTGGATTGAACGTAAAACAATTAAGCTATCCCATTCTGCTGGTGTGTGTGAAACTGCATGAGTTTGCTGCTATTATGCTTTTTTTTTTCCTTTCATATAGCACAAATTATAGCTATTTTGTGAATGTAAAAGCTCTGCAAAGATTCAAAGATCAAAGTGCAGAATAAATGGAGCTGTTGTCTCCTAAAATAAAGACGAGAGTAGTCAGTAATTCTAGCCTTATTCTAGAATCAGACGGTGACTATGTTAGAATATTAACTATGTTCTTGCATATCATGGACAAGAAAGATTGTTTCAATTCATTTTAAATTAGTTTGAACAAGCAGCAACATTTGCAATTGATAAAAAAAAAAAAATAGGAGTATTTAAAAGTGCCATATAGTGCATTGGTCCAATACTTTAAATAATAAAAACAAATCTACATAGTAGGCACATGGCTTAGGTAAGTAAAAAAGAATCAGAACCAATTATATATGAACCAAGAACCAATTATATATGCTAACTATTTAGAAAATATCCTTAAGAATCATAAAGTCCATATCAAGTATATTTGGAATGGTTGTGCATGTTAATGAGCTACACTCTGATACTCTGCATCTCAGTGTGAATGGCCCTACCCTAAAATCTAATAACCACTGTAGTAGATGAACAAACAACATGTTTTCTTACTTTTTCCTCTGTGCTCTTTATAATGGCCAGATCTGCTCTTCTCTGTTGACAGTCTCGTCTGCTGTCCTCCCAGCTCTTCTTCTCAAATGAAATATAATAGAAACTGGAGCTGAAGTAAATCCACTTAAAGTTGTCAGAGAGCTGATCTGTTAATAAAACCAGTTTAGAAATCAATTTAAATGAGTCAATCTCCATAGTCATGTCAGAATGAGCTGATAAAACATTAAAATAATTCACACAACTCCTATCATTTAACTTCTCATGACGTAAAAAGCTACATTTTTGTAACAAACAACTCAATTCTCCCATGGATTTTCAAAAAATACTTTCACCCTCCTAGATGCCTTGTTTTTGTCCCTTATACCTTTTCTTGTTTGTCCACATAGTTACCTGTATTCGTTGCCCTAGTTATTGGTTTTTTACCACCCCCATGGCTTTGCTACCATGGACTCAACAATCCATTTAAACTGACCATGGTGTTTCTTGAGGGACACTAAGTGGAGTTCCTAAATTATGACCTGACAAAATGTTGATCCCCCTTCAGGACACCACTTCAGTCATTTTGTTTGCAACACCAGTTATAATGTCTAGCACTCCAAAGTCTCGCACCATCATAGCTACCCCGGGTATGGTTACTGCCCCAGGTTATCACCCTAGGCTGTTATCCCAGCGCCGTGCCCATTTATGCCTGCAGATTCTGAGCCTCCAACTGTCATGGTCACTGTACTATAGCTCTCTCCCATCATGGCTGCTGCTCCCGAACCGTGCCTTAGCATGGTCACAGACCCAGAGCCTTGCCCTCTTCATGGCCACCATCCCGGGTTGTCGACTAACTGCCGTTCCTGAATCTCGTCCTTTCATGGGAGCCTGCCCTGAGCATTGTCTCATTACTGCTCTCATCTGCACACCTGCTCTGCTTCGGCTTCCCTTGCCCTTGCTTTCTGCCCTGCCTCAGTGAACATCCCCAACATAGACCTGGTCTCTAACCAATTGTCTGTCTTTGTTCCACCTCTCTGCTTGACTCTTTATGTTGGAGGATCTGGAAGCTGCTACTCTCAGCGGTTCAAAGTTCCAACAATGCAAACTAGACAAAAAGCGAACTTCTAGCTATTTCTAGGAGTTTTGAAAACATTTCTCAGGAGTGAAAATGCCTTTAAATTATGGTTATGTATTAAAATGAAATGAGTTGTATAAAAAAGAAAGTAGACTGTGTTGTAGACAAAAAAAGTACAGGCAATTAAAGAGAACTTTACCCTGTTCATGAAGCCAATGACGCAGCTGGTTCTGCTCATTCCTTATCTTGTCTCTTTCTTTAGTCAGGTCATTGTTGCTTTTCAGTATCTGCTCTTTTTCTTTAGTCAGGTCATTGTTGCGTTTCAGTATCTGCTCTCTTTCTTTAGTCAGGTCATTGTTGCTTTTCAGTATCTGCTCTTTTTCTTTAGTTAAGTCATTGTTGCGTTTCAGTATCTGCTCTTTTTCTTTCGTCAGGTCATTGTTACGTTTCAGAATCTGCTCTTTTTCTTTAGTCAGGTCATTGTTACGTTTCAGTATCTGCTCTTTTTCTTTAGTCAGGTCATTGTTACGTTTCAGTATCTGCTCTTTTTCTTTAGTCAGCTCATTGTTGCGTGTCAGTATCTGCTCTTTTTCTTTAGTTATGTCATTGTTGCGTTTCAGTATCTGCTCTTTTTCTTTCGTCAGGTCATTGTTGCGTTTCAGTATCTGCTCTTTTTCTTTAGTCAGGTCATTGTTACGTTTCAGTATCTGCTCTTTTTCTTTAGTCAGCTCATTGTTGCGTGTCAGTATCTGCTCTTTTTCTTTAGTTATGTCATTGTTGCGTTTCAGCATCTGCTCTTTTTCTTTCGTCAGGTCATTGTTGCGTTTCAGTATTTGCTCTTTTTCTTTCGTCAGGTCATTGTTGTTTTTTAGTATCTGCTCTCTTTCTTTCGTCAGGTCATTGTTGCGTTTCAGTATCTGCTCTCTTTCTTTAGTCAGGTCATTGTTGTTTTTTAGTATCTGCTCTTTTTCTTTCGTCAGGTCATTGTTGCGTTTCAGTATCTGCTCTCTTTCTTTAGTCAGGTCATTGTTACGTTTCAGTATCTGCTCTTTTTCTTTCGTCAGGTCATTGTTGCGTTTCAGTATCTGCTCTTTTTCTTTCGTCAGGTCATTGTTGTTTTTTAGTATCTGCTCTCTTTCTTTCGTAAGGTCATTGTTGCGTTTCAGTATCTGCTCTTTTTCTTTCGTCAGGTCATTGTTGCGTTTCAGTAACTGCTCTCTTTCTTTAGTCAGGTCATTGTTGTTTTTTAGTATCTGCTCTCTTTCTTTCGTCAGGTCATTGTTGCGTTTCAGTATCTGCTCTTTTTCTTTCGTCAGGTCATTGTTGCGTTTCAGTATCTGCTCTCTTTCTTTAGTCAGGTCATTGTTGTTTTTTAGTATCTGCTCCCTTTCTTTCGTAAGGTCATTCTTGCTTTTCAGTATCTGCTCTCTTTCTTTCGTCAGGTCATTGTTGCGATTAAGGATCTGCTCTCTTTCTTTAGTCAGGTCATTGTTGTGGTTCAGTAACCGCTCTCTTTCTCCTTTGAGGTTAGTGATATTAGTAAGTAACTGCTCTCTTTCTTCAGTCAGTTCATTGCTGCGCTTTAGTATCTTTTCTCTTTCTTCATTGAGGTTAGTGATGTTTGTTGGTAAGTGTCTTCTCTCGATGGTGAAATACACACAGAGCACTATTACAGCTGTCAGCAGAAGAGCACAAAGCAAACACAAACACACTCCAATTGCTCTCTGCTTTCTGCTCTTCACTGAGATGCTTCCTGAGGATGAAGAAAACAAGCTTTTGACTTTTTCATTGTCTCTTATAACAGTATAAACCTGAATTTACACTTACATACCTGTGAGTTGAGGTGTCTGGTGTTTCTCTGTCTTCAGATCTAGACATCCTTCAGTATCTTCTGTATTTATTTTTTGATAAAAAGCCTCAGGTATCTCTGACTTGGTCATTGTGATGCTGGGTAAATGGAAGGTGTGTTTAGGCTGCACTGCTCTTCTTTTCAGTTCATTCAAATAATGAATCTTCTAAAAAACGTTTACAGTAGCTAAACCCTTTCCGCAAGCACTTAACCACACCTCACAAGAAGAAGAAAAAAATGAATTGTCGGCATGTCTCCTTTGCTCTAGCTGGTTTCTTAATCTAGCTTTTCTAATAAACAAGGCATCCCCCACTAATGTAAGTCCCCACTAATGTAAGTCACTTTACAAAAGTTTTACATGACTAAATGTACATAACTACATTATTAACGATTTAAAGTTCATAATCACGTGACAAAAATGTATGACATGACTTTCGTTTGACGTTTTGTTCTGCTTCTTTGAGTTTGGTGTTTTTTTCTCATGTTTTCAAGTTCCTTTTATCGGTAAGCCTATAGGGTCATTGCCACCTAATGACACTTTAGGTCATCAGATTCATTGTCCTACTGTGGCAGTTATGTGCACCCTGAAACTAGACTACATTTACATTTAATCATTTAGACTAGAGGACACTTGAGTTCAAATGCAAAAGACTCTTTGTGGCATCTGAAATCTTCTAAAAATAGCGTTTTTCTCACTGTAGGTTTAGTAGATAGGTTCAGAGAACATAAAAATAGGAGGCTGAGAAAATGCTCTTCTTATAAGTAAATTGCAGACCTTTCAATTTTATCCAAAATAATTTACAAATAAGGAGAACCATAGGAGAAATTAGATCAACAAGGGAAAATATGTAAATGTACCAGCTAATCTCAAAGTTTCATTTAAAATAAAGAACAAAATAGTATAGATGTTGCTTGTATTAATCGGTCAGTTTCTGACTACTAAGATCTATGACTGGACTGTGTTTAGGAAATAGAAATTTGAAGTCATTTTGTGCCTTTTGGGATTTGCTGAAAAAGTGAGTTTTCTCCTTGTAGAACAACAGGTTTCTAAAAGACACAAAAGTCTGAATTAGGGATTTTTAGGTAACTGAGTGCAGAGACAGTGATCATATATGTCTAAACATAAATGCCTTGAATGTGATGCAAGCAGAAATTTAAGTCAGAGTTCATGAAAAGAGGTGAAATGTGTTTTTTCTTGGTGTGCTTTCAGGTGCAGAGGTTTGATTTACCAAGCGAGCATTGCAAAAGTCCAGCCTGGACAAACAAAAACTTAAACAAGGAGTTGTGTAGCATGCCTAAACGGGCAGGGTTTTTATCTCCCTAATGTTCAAGCAGGCAAATCTGATTGAGTGGGTGTTCTATCAATGTGTTCTGTAAAAACCACAAGGTTCCTGGCTGAACTGGAAAGAGTTATTGTCGGTGCACCTAGCTTGATGGAAAAGATGTGAAGATGTATGAACTAGCCAAATACAAATGCAGTTCTGCTTAGCAAGGTTACGTTGAGATTATGGCTCTTAATCCAGCATTACAAATCTGTCAGACATGTTGAAATTAGGGTTGGGTACAGAAAACCGGTGCCATACCTTTGTAACCGGTATGCACTGGACCTAATCAGCATATGAATTTCGATGCCTAATTCTTGTGCCACTGGTGCTGACAAAAAAACAAAAGAAAAAACAAAAAAATCATATAAGGAATAAGGAATTATAATAAGGAAACCATCTAGTAAATGAACTGCATACGAAACGTTATAGTTAATGGTGAGAATCCAGCAAATAGCTTCTTAAGCAGGTCAAAAAATTTTGGGATACTTCTGCTTTCAAATGTTAAACAGACTGCAAAATACAATTATTATCTCCAATTAATGCAGAAGAGATGCCAGAAATCGGGGTGTAATGGCATGACTTTAAATGCGGAAGTAAAGTCAACTTTAATGAGCTAAGCACTGCGTCCGACTAGTTTAATTAAAGAGATTGCCTGGTCTATGGCGTGGTAATTTAAAGCGTCTTCATCAGGCGGAATGATGCTGTTAACGCTTGAAGAGACAGAATTATGAAGTGAAGAAAGGTCAATTATTAGTAGTTTTTACCAGGATGTTTTCCAATAGGCACTCCAGTAGCGCTAATGTGAATACGCTAAACAGGGGAGCAAGAAGAGACCGATCTTGAATTTATTTTTTATCTTTTTCTCAATTAAATGCTCTACGACTTCTGGTTCAGCGTTGGCAGATTAAAAGTTAGTGCGGGTAAGGTTGTAGGAAGGCAGGGTGGAGATAACGGGATGAAATCTTTTGGACATTAGACAGACCTGAAATGAGCTCGCGCTCTCCTATGGGGGCACACACTTCTACACCTACCAGAAACTATTCTCCGCCAAATGCGCACTACGAGTAACCCAGTGGAACCAGTGTCCTTACTGGGGGGCTGTGGACACTGAACTCCACAATCGGGTATTTTTAGGATGCCGCAACCTAAACTTCGCTGTCTGCAGCTCCAATCTGCACCCCACTACCTCCTGTCCTCTAATCAGTCCCTCCTTTGATCCAGCTAAACCATCTATCAAAACCATCAGTAATGTTCCTCAACCACCTAGCCACAACATCCCTTCTCTTCTGTCTGACTCTCTCAAACCCTCCCTCCCTAATCGTGACATTTGCATGAATTTTAACATCAGCAGATGCAACAGAATGCCTTGCATATACCTACATTTGTGTAGGTATCTGCAAAAATCATCTGCCAAGTCCTCAGGGCAAACAATAAAAAATTTAAAAATTACCTGTCGACTCCTGTGAATATTTCTAACCTTGCTCTAGAACTATGTTTTCACCCTGATTCTAACTTCTCTGATTTTCTCATTTTAAGTCTAACTCACGGATTCCACCCAGGTGTCTCAACTCTCCCTTCTCACAATCTCTTTTGTCCCAATTTGCAGTCTGCTACCACTGAACCTGAAATTTTCAATTATCTTATTAAAAAAGAAATCAACAATAACTTCATGATCAGACTATTCATGGCTCCTCCATTCAATGTCTCACACATTAGCCCCATAGGAGTTGCAACTCGAAAATTTTCTGACAAAAAACGCCTAATAATTGATCTTTTGGCCCCCCACAATTCTGTTTTTCCTAGCATTAAAAGCACCATCCCATTATATGAATATTCGCTCACCTACCAAAACATTGAGTAAGCCACCACCCTCATCAAAATAGCCGGTCACAACTCCTGACTAGCTAAAGTGGACATTTCATCTGCCTTTAAAATCCTGCCAATCCACCCAGATTTTTGCCATCTTTTTGGCATTCATTGGCGTTCCCAATTCTATTTTGCAGTCTGACTAACTTTCGGATGCAAAAGTAGTCCAAAAATATTCGACATGATGTGAAAAGCCTTATGCTGGATTTTGTCTAATAATAACGAAATCTCTCACCTCATTCACCTCCTAGACGATTTTCTCATAATTTCTCCCCCTTCTTCACCCCCAGCTAAGCACCTAGCGATCACCCAATAGGTTTTTGCTAATCTAGGAATTCCTCTTGCAGAGGAAAAAACCTCAGGACCCAGTACTTCAATTGAATTTTTGGGCATTAATCTAGACTTGCATACATTCCAAGCATCCTTCCCTAAAGAGAAAATTGACCCAATCATTTCCCTATCCCAGATATTCTTAGAAAAACAGACATGCACAAAACGCAAACTCCTATCTATTCTCAGACATCTCAATTTTGCAATGCACATAATTCCTCAAGGCCGCCCATTCATTACTCACCTCCTCCAACTCTCCACCACAGTCCATAGCTTAGAAGAAAAAATCCTTCTCTCTATATCCAGTCGCGAATAACTAAGCTAACGGATCTCTTTCCTTAAGAAATGAAATGGCGGTTCCTTCTTCTACAGCAGCTTAGTAGCATCCCCCATAGACATTAATTTATTCACAGATGCTGCCCCGTCAGTTGGATTTGGAGGCTTCTACAATGGGCACTGGTTCGTCGTCTCATGGCCAACCCAATTGACTTCTATTCCAAAAAAACAAAGCTCTTTGGCCCTCTTCAAACTCTATTCAATAGTTGCAGCAGCCATCCTGTGGGGAGATGAATGGTCCACATCAAGCATTCTCGTTCATTGTGAAAACTAAGCTACTGTACACTGCATTAATAAAGGTCGTTCTTACTCCCCTTCTATTATGACATTTCTAAGACGCCTCACCTGGATATCTGCTCAAAAACAATTTATCATGACTGCTGAACATGTACCTTGTTGCAAAAACCAAATTGCTGACTCTCTCGTTTTTCTTTCCAGAAATTCTGGCTATTGGCCTCGGAGGTGGACCCCCACCCAACGCCTGTCCCTCCTTATTCAGAAATGATATTGCCATAAATCATCCCCTCTACAATCTCCACCAAAACTCCCTTTCTCTCATCTTACAAGCTGTAGCCCCCAGGACCCTCCATTCATACCTCACAGCATGGAACACATTCAAATATTTTCACACCCTCCATCACCTAAATTTCCCCAATTTTTCCCTCCTCTCCATCACTTCCTTCATAGCACACCTGGACAGTGCAAAACACATCCAAGCAAGTTCAATCAAAAGCTATCTTAGTGGGATCAATTGTTTTCACAAACTAATTCATGGGTCCTCCTTTGATACCATCACCGATTCGCAAACCTCTCTCCTTATTAAAGGTATTCAAAAAGCCCACCCCACCACCCCCGATTCCAGACAACCCTTCACACTCAAAATCCTCTGCTCATGCATTCATAACCTACGCAAAGGTTACATTTCCCCCCACACAGCCCGCACCCTAGATGCCATGTTCACCCTAGCCTTCTTCGGCTTCCTCAGATGCTCCAATTTAACAGTTGCATCCGAATTCAACCCATCACTCCAACCCACTATTTCAGATCAAACTTTGCAAGATAAGGAAACCATTTCTTTCCTTATCAAACAAAGCAAAACAGATCAATTCCACAAAGGACACTTTATCTACATTTTCAACATACCCTCCCCCACTCACCCAATCCAAACCCTCCTAGCATTTCTAGATCAAAGGAAATCTCTAGAGTCTAACCCTCTAGCCCCACTCTTTACTGATGACGCTAACCGTTCAGTAACTCGCTTCTGGTTCCAAAAGCACCTTAAAGAAGTTCTCCGCCTCGCAGGTTTTTCCCCTGAGCCATTTTCCAGTCACTAATTTAGGATTGGCGCCGCCACCACAGCAACTTTTAATGGGCTCTCCCAGCATCAGATCCAGACCCTCAGTCGCTGGTTCCCGGAAGCTTTCAAATCCTACATCCGCCTTAGTAAATACCACCTCAAGGAAGCCCAACGGGCTCTAACCAACCCCCAAGCCCCCCCCCACACCCGGCTCCGACTCTCGCAGGAGTCTAACAGAGCCTCGACTCTCGCAAGAGTCATCCAAATACACCCCCCCTCCCACACACACAC